ATTCATTTAAATGGACGTTTCATTCGAGGTATGACTGAATTGCGAGACCATTATCATGGGCATTCGTGCTAGAGTTACTCGGGATCATAAAATTTCCTCCAACAATTAGTCATTGTTCACTTCAACACCCCAGAGCCATTGGAGATATGATGCCATTTAATGACGCCATTCTGTCGGCCGTATTGTGTAGGACACGGCGGCTGCTGAAACCTCTTTCCAGCATCGTCATCACCCCCGTTGGACTACCGCCGCCTCAGCCCCTCGTGAGAGGAACTCGGCGGCACGATCAGACGGCCTTGCAAACTTCCGTGTTCATCCACGATCGAAATCATTTATTTGCACAATGATTGGTTGATTTTGTCTTTGTATCATTACAGACACATATCGTAACCCATACGTAACTATCTCGCACCCAACTATTTCTCTGTCCGTGTGGATAGACTTCCGATTAGGTACATGTAAGTTTAATGATAGATGTTACTAGTCAACGTCTGTGAATTGTGACGTCACACCCCCTCCCACCTTAGCACACATTGTGCTACAAAACCCTTTCGAATGTTGTTACTGCCAGTTCGTAAGTGCTCTTCACGTACTTTGTTGGCTACATTCGGTCCGCTTATGAGCAGCAGAATGTAAAGAGAGATTAGTAGCATGTAAGGAACATTAGTGTGTATCGTTGCACTTTCAGTTAGATTCGGTCAATCGTTTGAACGCCCATCTTTTCCTGGAGTTGTTGTGCCTAGGTATCTGACCTACGAGACTGATAGATTACTCACAATCAGTTTCGCTGTCAAAGAAAAATTGATTGTTGTTTTGAACCTATAAAAAGCTGCTCCCCGTCCCCTTTAAACTTCGTATCGTTCTGACCTGTTTATTTATTCGTGATAGTTTAGAGATCACAACTCTTGCTAGACAGGTCACTACAAACACCTATCATAACCCCGGAATTTTTAACTATGAATTGTTCTTATACAGACATATCATAGCTGACGTTTGTCTTCTCGTGTGATCTATTAGTGCAAAATATTAGAGAGTTCCTTCTAAAAAACGAAGTTCAACTGATATTTATAAAATAATCGATGATGCTCGAAAAGCTATTTCATGTAATGAGCCCCTAGGTTCTGTATCGTTTGGAGAAAATAACACCTCAATATCTTTCTGTTTCTGTTTCTCACAAACACTGAATAGACGAAGTGAAACTTGTTCGTTCTGGAATATTGTGTGACAATAAAAAATATACCGCTTATAATTACGATATAATTTCGATAATAGTCGTATCATGTAACTCTATCCTTCTGTTATTTTTACATTCACAGATCTCACACGGTTTCATTTTGACCTATATAAGGACGGCGCTGTGTCATCCAATTGAGTTTCGGTTTAATATGATAAATTAGTTTCGTGAAATACTAATTGAAATATGCTTCAATAGATACAATTTAATTATTTTGCCCTGACATATTTACTGACTGAACGAATACTTAAAATTCCAAGAATGAGACTCAATATGTGAGCAGATTTTGTGATGCCTATGGTATTTAATGAAGACAAGAAATTTTCAGTATACAATCTCGTTTAATATCCAATAATTAATGTAAATTAGCATTAAGTTGTACAATTAAACATAAAAAATGTATTTGTGAATCAGTGTTTGAATTCAGTGGATCTCGATGCGATTTGCGCTTGTGCTCAAGAGAGAAGCGGAGCACGCGTATAACAGCATTCAATACAATGGTGGATAGTTTTGCAATCTCGAAATTGTCATAGACAAAACACGAATTGCTGCAATCAAAGGTGCCAGAATTTCACCTAAATACTGCCTTTGACACCTGAAAAAGCATTTTTTTCGTCCGTCTCCGTTCGACCGTCTGGCATCATTAAACTAGGGGTGCTACATCGGATAATTCTTTCTCTCATTATTTTTAATTTTCGCAAATTCAGAGAGTTCAACGAAAAGAGATCTGCACCATTCTTTTATGCGTTCTTCGTGTTACTCATGGGGAAATATTGAACAAATAATTTGCAGCGGTATATGAGAAAATGTTTTTTTTTTATCAGTTGAATTAACGTCAAGCAGAAATTACGCAAAACCTATTTAGTTTTTCAAACATATGTGATCTTTAATAAAGAGCTATTTTTTTAGAATATTTTCTTTATGACAGAAATGTGCATCTACAGTAATGTGGTTTTGATTGTAAACCTTTTTCGAAAACACAAAGAGTTCGCCAAAAATGGGAGCAGCACCAACTTTTTATTGTCCTTTCATACAAACGAGGAGAAAATTTAAAGACCAAAATTGAAGCCATTTGTGTAAAAATAATTGTGTGAAAATTGCTTACATTTCATGCACAATTACGCGAAAACTACTCATATTTTTGAAAAACTATACAGACCTTATTTCAAGATCTGGCTTTGAACAACATATTAGTTCGGGGAAAGACCTTTATCTTCGGTATTGTTGTAAAAAGGCGCCAAAAACTTGGGAACTTTTGCAAATTTTTGAAAAATTAGGGGTTTTATCGAAAGTAAGACTAGTCATTTTTAAGGATCGTTTACGCTATTCGAAGACAAAATTTAATCTAACAATTTGGAGCCATTATTGAGAAAATTTTGTGAATGAGACTTCATTTACCTTTAAAAATCAAAAAACCCGTTTTTAATACGCAGGGACTCGCGTATGTTTAGATCACTAAGGAGAATCAGTTTTGGAGGAAATTGTTTGAACGGTTTAGGCGCCAGCGTTGGCCACAGACAGATGGACAGATAGACAAACGTTACGCATTCAATCGATTTTTGGCATGAAGTACTCCGAAAACGTGCATTTTCACTACAGGACGTGTTAGAGGAAGTAATGTATCTCGTGTAGAAGCACGATTTATCCACATATTCGTAACCATCGCAAGAGTTTTCTGTTGAAAATGTGCCAATTTCTTCAGACAATTACTATATTTTTTAGTTGTTACGAAGTAAAGCTGGCAAGAAAAAAGTAACGACATCAGTATGAATTGGACATTCATGGAGCCTTATTGCATGCAGAAATAAATATATTTAATTTCGATTCATGGAACTTACAACTTCTTCTGAGGCGTAAGTATTTTGTCATTCCGTTCGTTGGCGATAATGAAATACCTCAGATGTTTACAGTGTTAGTTCTTTACATTTTCGTATTTCCCGATATTTCAGTAGAAAGCCGTGAAAGGTTTTGTGTCATTTGTCATAAAGAGTCCCGTGGCGCCGTTGTATGTGTGCTGAGCGCAGGCGTAAGGTGGAGAGGCGTCAGCCGCCGCCTTTTCACAAAGGCTGCGACGCGTCGGCGTAGGCCAGAGCCGAGGAGGGGGATTTCGTATATGACAATGCACAACAAAGGGGTGTATTTCCAGTCGAAGGAATATCAGCTATCCTCCCTTCCTCTTGTCTACCTCTCCCCTTTCCACCCCTCCTCTCTTATCTCTCGTTCCACCTCACACCCTGTGCGCGCTTAGTGCCTTGGACTCGTCGGGGGCGTAGCAGAGGATTGGGCCGTTTTGGGATGGCCGTTGGATACGTACCCGTTCTGATTGAAAAACAAAGAAACATTTGTTATGTGAATGCCCACATACCTCATTACGTAATTAATTTTTGCTTTTTTGCAGCATTTTTATTTCATGTAAACGTGAATGGTTTTTATTTGAATTACTTGTTGAGTAGTATCTCCAATGTACTCGCAAGGGTGTTAAAATTGACGCTAAATTCCACCTCACGTCCGCACATGTACTTTATGTTCACCTACTCCCGTAACTTTCCGGATGTTCGCATCCTGACACTGGGAAGTAATACTAGGCTTTCCTGAATTGGTACCAACTGATTCTTGTTTATTTATATGATAAGGTATAGTACCTAGTGGTTTTCTTTTGCCTACCTCGCCACCATTGCTTTACGTATGTACGAAAATATGTGTGCTTTTCTCGGATTTGAATGAACTATTCGTTTACCGCCAGAGCAGTCTACGCTATTTTGGTTAGCTGACTAACCCACGTGATTTTAAAAAATTATGTGAATAAAATTGACATTTTTTCTTGACAATGTGACGTACATGAAGAAATTCAGTGTTTGTACGCATGTATTTACTTGGGCAAGTTTCGTAAGAAAAATTACGTCAATTTCATAAAATACAAAACATTTGGGCGGAAAGTAGAGGAGGGTTTCTCGAGGTTAATGCGACATTGATGCACAAATATTAACTTGTGGTGCGTTCCAGTTTTGCGTCAACGGATAAATGAGAACGGGTGTGTGTATCTCGCAAAAAAAACGGAGCACACGAAGGCCGTTTTGTTCAGACTCGTGGTTGCGCAAAGCCTGAACATGGAGCGTGGATTTGCGCGCTCCGCTACATTGTTGGAGGAAATGACTATTCAGTGGCGCCCGGAAGGGGGGGAGCAGCTGGGGCAACTTGTCCCAGCGGTTTTCATTTAAATCATAAAAATGTAATTCTTCTAATTAAAATTAACAGTTAATTCTGTTGCAAGAGGAAATGCTTTCTGTTGAGGGGGGATCTTGTTTGAAATAAGGGACCCCGCCGATGTACTGCGTCAGACTCCTTGTTTTCTGTGGGCGCCCCTGTTATTACTTGGTTGTCATTTAGTTAGAGAACAGCCAGATTCCAGATGAGGGCGCCAGTGAGTCGCGGCTTCGTAAACCGATTGTGAAATTGGTTAAATAATGTAAATTGTTTGAAATAACTGAATTTTACAACAGTATTGCAGATGATATTTGTGGTAAAACCCGTTCTAAAAGAGAAAGAGACTCGTTTTGTATGGGAAATTAGAGAAGAGAAGGGACGTTTGTACTATAAATATATTAAAAGTGGTTCCGTGGTTTTCAGTTTATACAAGTTCTCGTGTTATTTTGTCTGTCCGCGGTGAGTGATCTTGATCATCCATTCACCGTCCGGTGAAGCGAGATGCTCGTAAAAGGCGGGAGCGGGTGAAGCGTGTGTCGAGCTGTGCGCTGTTGCTGCGCAGAAAAACCCCGGGACGGTGCGCACGGCGGAGGAGGACCGCGGCCGCGACAACTTCACGATGGAGCTGCTGCTGGACGTGGGCCGGTCGGCGCTGGTGTCGCGGCACGTGGCACCTCTGTGCGCCGAGGCGGCCGACGCCACCTACACGCGCGAGGCGGACCTCAAGATGTGGGCGACGCTGCCAGGTAGGCGCTTTCCGCTTCTTCCTACTTGTACTTTTCTTCTTCTTTTTTTTCTCTGCACGGAAATGAACTTCCTGCTTAAACACACACTCACATGCACTACACTATCATTCATGCTGGGAGTCCAGTCGGGAGCGTAGAGCTTGTCCCGGTGCGGCAGTGCCTCACGGTTGGGAGACACCTGAAGAGGGAAGAGCCCTAGCCGGCGTGTAGGTCGGCGTCAGATCTCACCAACCAGTGGGAAAATAATCTTGGCATAGTTGACGCTCCCGGAAACACGAAATTATCAATCAATCCATCATTAAGCCGTCGCTGTGTACTGGTGTGAATACTGTATGAGATTCTCGATTATGCATTATATCTCATTAAAAACTGCAAAAGCTGTAAATGCTTTTTACTTTCTTGCTACCACATACACGGTAGAGAAAGTTATGTAATGTTGCGAGGAAAAGTGGCGAATTTTTGGCGGAAAAACTCGTTCTGGCGAGCCCTGGTAACAAAAAAGTTATTAAATCCAGTTGATAAAATAAAAAATATTCATTAACACATGGTGTAGCAGTTATCCTTGTTTTGAGAACCCTTCATACCGTAAAATGAATTGACGCAAAAACGTTTGCCCATCTGTCGGTGAACAACACTAGCGGTTAAACGGATCAGCTAATTTTTATTACCAAAATTATTAAACTCCAATCGATCTGGCTGATGTGGTGGCCTCTTGAATTGGAAACCGATATCTTAATTTAGGGGGTAATTTACATGAAGTCCCTGGAACATTTTCGAAAAAACTTTTTCCTCAGAATGGACACCACATAATTTTATTTTGTATATAACAGAGTATGGTAAATAAAATTATGATGATCTCATTTTCAGCGCTCACTCTGTATTATCGAAATTTGCAAACAAAAAATTAACATTACAAAAGTATAATATTGCTGATGATGAAGTTTTGATACATTAAATCTGATCTAACAAAATCAGATCTTTAAAGCATGTCATGTGCTACATTTGTTTTAAAATATAAGTAGTTTAGTGTAATTTTATATATTTGAAACTGCATTTTTGAATTTCCTGCTTTTGGTTTGATGACCTGTCAGTGTGAAATTCTTGTGAATCCTCTTTTTTGGCGAATATGAAACCTTTACGAGGCTTTGTTTTATTTATTTATTTTAGTTTATTTATTAATTCTTTATTTTAATTTACCTTTTTTATTTTTGTTTATTATTATTTTTTATTTATTTACTTTTGAATTTATTACGTCAAAAACAGTTAAATGCTGTGAGTGACGTACTATGGGTAGAATTTTTTTGTGTGATGGTTCGATTAAATTCTGGTATGTTTACCCTAACCCATATACCTGGTGAATTGTGAATACAAATAAATTTATCGTTGAACTAAAAATACACTTCTTTAGCGAAAGAATTCACAAATTGAAAGCACACTTTAATGTAATGAAAGCAGGCTTGTGTGAAAATATTCTTGCTTTTCTGTATTCTGTGTGCAAATACTAAATTGTAAAAGCTAAAAATTGCTAAACTAATTTGTAAAAGTTATAAATACCTACAGTTCCTGGCTATCGAAATAAATGCTGATATATATACAGCATACAAATACAGGCGCTACGCTGCTGAATTTGACAATTTCACGTTATATCTTTAGTGTGGCAGAAATAACTATAATTCAACATTACGTAACTATAGCCACTTATGTGAGAAAGTATATGTTATTGTGGCACCACTACTTAGGTCTGTAAAATGTGTGCTCAGAAACTGAAAGCTTCATGAGGCTTTAAAATGATTGCAGTGATTCTGTACGAGAGGTGGAAACATTTTTGTTCAAATTGTCTGAAGCTGCATGAGCGTTTAGGACTGCTGATCCCTGGACAGAAACTAAGAAAGCAGGATAAGCTTCTGCATACTCGTAGTATATTTTCATGTATTTCCTGTTCATTCTGTAATCTCTCAGGCATTCTTTTAAACAGTATTTCATTCTGTTAGGTTGTTCTCTTCTTTAATCTACAACCTGAAGACCGCTCAGTAGTTTCTTGAGTGTTTACAGTGCCACCTGCCTTTTTTTTATTTTTCTTGTATATGTAACTATTTTTGCCGCCTGAATTGTTTCATTCGTTGCCATCTTCAACATTACTTTATAAAACTGTCATACCGTAATTACTTATAATACGGCCCATCATCCTCGATTTACTGGAGCATTACAGGTACATATAACGACCAGACCTCACTGACGGACGTTCTAGCATTTTATTCAGTATCGAAACCTTTAATACCTTGGGTTATAAAAAATGAAAAGTACGCCCTTAGTGAAACACGTAGGTAATTAAATATTTGTTTGTTAAATTACCTTTTTAAATATGCACCACAAAATATGCGCAATAGAAAATTTATATAAGAGAAACTTCCATTTTCCATTCTCGGCCACCGGTACATGCCGCACAGAAAGTTATATGTTGCTAAAAAATAATTGATATCAAGATTTTGACGGAAATGTACGTTTTGAGGACACAAAAACTGAAGAAGTGAGTTTTCGAAAACTTCTGTTGCCTGTACTAAGGTACGTACGTACGTACTCGAGCGGAAGGAACTCTTATGATAATTTCTGAATGTTTTTTTTCTTTCTTTTTTTAAAAACAAAAGCTTCTGCTGTGGTGGCCCAATGGCAACAAGATCGTCGCCTCAGCGGCTTCGCTAACCCCTTCTAGGTTTCGACACATTGCTTCAGAGACAGGACTGCGAAAATTCTAACGGCCGACGGATCTGATCGGTGGGTTTATTGTTATTTAAGTGATCAATACCATGCGAAGGACGAAGCAGGACATGAACAAGCAGGCCAGGGATTGCCTGTAATCTTTCCTTCCTCATCCGCGTCCCATTCTCACCCTTACAAGCCTCACTTGTACATTACTACTTATGTTGGGAGCGTAGAGCGTGTCGAGCTGGGGCGGCGTCTCGGTGAGGGAGATATCTGAAAGGAAAAATCTGCAAGTCGATCTCGCGTACCACCACTTCTCGAATGCATCCTATACTACAGTACACTAATTGAGGCGCTCGAAAATACCAATAAACATTCAAGTACAAATAGTTCCAATTTTTCTTCGTAGTCATTGCTATAACAGAGCAAGTTGCTCGTACTTCTGAAATTTCGAAAAACTTTAAGGTTATTTTTCGAATCTATCCTACTCCTTCAGCACGAAAGCTAGATCTCTCTTCCTTAATGTAATTATTTTTTTCAATATTAGATCTGCATGTTATTTCAGGTATTTAAAAAAATAGTAATTACGCGTGATCTTCAGTCAAAGCACAACAATTTTCAACAATTACTTAAACAAGTTTCTAAAAAAAGTCCTGAATTTCCCGTTTATTAATGTTTTTGTATGGACAGAGCACAATGAAATTTTATATTAAAACTTTCACATTTTCAAAAATAGTACATACCTTTAAGTATATGTAACTAGTTTATACTGTTATGCTTAATTGCATACATTTTAGAAAACGAGATAAGTTAGGATGTATGTATACATATATGTGCGTGCATGCGCCTGCGCGTGTTTGGTATTGGAGCCGAAATTAATTCCGGAAACAAATTTTCAAAAGCAGTTTTGCATTTGCAATTTAGGCGTTGGTTTATGAAGTGACGCAGGAACGGCGACTAGCGAGAACGAAAAGGCAGGCCGAGCAGTGGGGATGGCAGGAAGGAACGAGCTGCGCCGCACGTCGTGTGAGCCGTAAAATGGCAATTTATGAACGACTTCTTGCAACAAAAAGATGTTAATATACAAAACTAGTGGTGCTCCAACATCACATACTTCTGGCATTAATTCTAACTGTTGCCATTTCTAAAATTTATAGAGTTAAACGTAAATGAGACCTGCGCCATTTCTCGACCGTTCTTTGCTCTATCCGTAGGACAAAATTGAAGGGAAAAAATTGGAGCAGTGTCCTAGAATTTGATTAATAAATTGAATTAACTTCAAGCAGAAATTATGCGACGTATTCTTGGTTTTTCAAGAAATTGCAAGTTACCGTTTTTTAAAGGTCTGAATTTTGATCGCAAGTTCAATTTAAGGCAAAAATCTCAATCTTCAATATTGTTTTTATACTGTAACATGTTGAGACTACATCCAAAGTACCCCCAAAATCAAAATACATTGCTGTTTATGAAAATTGCGACACCTACGGGAATGATGGCAATCACTTAAAAATCGGCAGGTTTGTAGAATAATGTATCCGTGAGAAGTGATTACATTTGCATAGAGATGGCGTTCGGGCTAGACTTGCGGCGCCCTCTTTTGTGTTACAGTTCAGGTCAGTGTTACGTCACACTTAGTTGGTGTAGAGCCGACCAACAACGTGGAAACGTGTAAGCGGGTGCCAGATGCCTCGTCGACGACGAAGGGCGCACTATCATTATCCGAGTGAGTTCGAGCGGGCCCAAAAGAATGGTCTCGTGACATTGGGCTCGAACGGGGCGCGCTGCTACGACAGTAATGCGTTTGGAACCATTGGATAGGAGAGGGTCCTACACAGCGACGAGCGGGTAGTGGTCGCCACACAATGTGACCACAGCGCCAGATGATCGCAATCTTGTCTTCATGGCCGAATCCGAGAGAAAGGCATCGTCCAGTGTGTTGGCTCGACTTTGAAGCAATGCAACGTGTGTGATCATTTATGCGTCGACGGTTCGACGCCGTCTGCTGAAGGCTGGACTGACAGCACGCATATCACTACGTCGTATTCCTTTATCGAGAAACCATCAACGCCTCAGACAACAATAGGCACGTGAACGTGTTCACTGGTGAGCTGAGTGTCAAAATATGATTTCAGAGTTCCGCTCGAATTTGTGGTTCACCGATGGCCGCATACGTTTTCGATGCTACCGTGGTAATCGCAATCCTGCATTGTTCCACGCCATA